GCACTATTCCTCATAAAAAGGGAAGAATGCCCCCAAAGGTGATTCAGCGATGATCAGGGCTACCTCCTTGGTTTCAAGAGTAAGGTCATCGCTTCAATTTCAATAGGCCAGGCAACTTCCACCTCAGAACCTCAGGGATGGGGTTACCCCAAACCTTGGAAGTAGGACCCTCACCTGGCAGAGTCTTGGAGGCATGACCCCTGGCTAGTAGAGCCAAGGGACCAGTGGGTCATAAAAGTGGGACTGCTGCCCTATGGGTCCAAATGTTGGAATATTGACTCACAAAAAAATTATTCTCAAACTGTAAGATTTTAATGGAATTTGTCTTGCCAGTGTTTGGGTTAGCTTGGGACCCATTACCCCTTCCTTTTTTCATATTTCTCCCTCATGGAATGGGAATGCCATCCTGTTTTCATATGTTTTTCATATAATCTGTCTGATTTCAGATTCACAATTGGAGGGGAATTTTTCCTCAGGATGAATAGTACCTCAAATTTTACCTATATCTGATGATATTTAGATGAGACCTTGGACTTTAGACTTTAAAATTAATTCTGGAATGAGTTAAGGCTTTTGGGGCTGTTGAGGTGAAAGTAATATATTCTGCATGTGAGAAGAGCATAAATTTTGGGGAACCAGGGGGAGAATGCTAGACTAAATAGTGTCCCCCACAAATTCATGTGTTGAAGCTGTAATTCCCAATATGATAGTACTTGGACACAAGGCCATTGGGAGGTGACTAGGTATAAATGAGATCATGAGGGTGAGGCCCTTGTGATGGAATTAGTGCCCTTATAAGAAAAGACACCAGAGAGCTTGCTCTTTCTTTCATGTGAGGACACAGCAAGAAGGTGGTCATGTGCAACCAGGAAAAGAGCTCTCATGAGAAACTACCCTGATTTCAGATTTCCAGTTTTCAGAACTGTGTGAAATAATTATCTGTTTTTTAAGCCACCCGGTCTATGGTATTTTGTTATGGCAGCCAGTGATGACAGATACAACAAAATTATGCATAAGTCTAAAAATGAAAATATCCCACTCTAGCCAGTTTGGCTCAGTGGATAGAACATCGGCCTGCAGACCAAAGGGTCCCAGGTTCAATTCCAGGCAAGGGCACATACCTCAGTTGCAGACTCCTCCCTGGCCCAGGCCCTACTTAGGGCTTGTGCAGCAGGCAACCGATCAATGTGTTTCTCTCACATCGATGTTTCTCTGTCTTTCCCTCTCTCTTCCACTCGCCCTTAAAAAAAAATCAATGGAAAAATATCCTCGAGTGAGGATTAACAACAAAAAATAAATAAAATAAAAATAAAAATATTCCAATTTCCATCAATTGATGACTAGGTAAATAAAATATAGTATACTCATATAATGGACTAGCCTAAGTGCCCATCAGCAGATGAATGGATTAAAAAACTGTGGTACATCTACACAATGGAATACTATGCTGCTGTACAAAGGAAGGAGCTCCTACCATTTGCAACAGTATAACTCTGGAGAGCATTATCTAAGTGAAATAAGTCAGTCAGAGAAAGATAAATATCACATGATCTCACTCATTTGTGGATTATAATAAACAAAAACTGATGAACAAAAATAGATCCAGAGACAGAGAAGCATCAAGCAGATACTCAAACCTCAGAGGGAAGGTAGGGGAGGGTGGGGTAAGCGAGGAGAGGTCAACCAAAGGACTTGTATGCACGCATATAAGCATAACCAACGGAAGCAGACACCAGGGGGTTGAGGGCATGAACGGGAGTGGGGTGAGGGGCAATGGGTGGATAAGGACACATATGTAATACCTTAATCAATAAAGAAAAATAAATAAATAAATAAATAAATAAATAAATGAAAATATCCCAAATTTCTATCAATTGATGACTAGATAAATAAAATATAGTATATTCATATAATGGACTATTATTGAGCCATAAAAAGGACTAAATACTGACACATGCTACAATATAGATGAACAAAGAAAACATGCTAAGTGAAAGAAACCAGACATAGAAGGCCACATATTGTATGATTCCATTTATATAAAATGTCCAGAATAGGCAAATCCAGAGCAAGAGAAGGATTAGTGGCTGCCAGAGGCTGGAGATAGAAGGGAAGAAGGACCACTGCTAATGGGTACTGGGTTTCTTTGGAGGGTGATAAAAATGTTCTGGAATCCATGATGATGCTTGCACAACTTTGTGACTGTACAAAAACTACTGAATTGTGAACTTTACAAATACAAATCTTATAGTATGCAAATTATATCTCAATGAAACTATTATTTTAAAAATGTTGCCTAGGGCCATAGCTCCTAATAAGCTGTAGGCTTAGGGAGAAAGGTGAATATGGCTAGCCAAGCTCTGAACTAGCTCTGTGATTGAATATGTGATGGTTCCAACATCAATACAAGGCCTGGTCTGGATTGGGATCTTGAAGGATCAGTGGTGGCAATTGCAAACCACCAGACAGAGAGGAATAAGAAAAATGAAAATGAAACAAAAATATTCAAATAAAAATTAGACCATAATAAAAAATATCAAAATACAAGAAAAAATATATCATGTAAGATACCCAAGGAAATCAACATTTAGAACAGAACATAGACTCATGCATAAGAAATTAAATTTACACAACAGTTTGACAAAGACTTTCAAATTATAACATATAAAATCAAGTTACAAAATACTATTTTTATAATATTAGGAGGCTCAAAGAGGAAAATAAAGACATACTTTTGATTAAAAAAGCAAGAGATTACAAAATAAAGCAAATAGAACTGAAGAAAACCAAATATATTTTTAAAAGAATCAATTAAAACAACATAATCACAGACAGAAAAATCATCGTCTAATTTTACAAAATGGCAACGAAAAGAGGTTTAATTACTTAAAAAATACAATTGAGAAATTCACACAAAATGCATCATAGAAAGGCAAAGAGATGTTAAAACATGAGCAGTTAAGAGACATGGAAGATAAGATGAGATACCTCAACATTCAACTGGTAGGGATTCTAGGACTTCCAGAACAAAAAAATGGTGGAGATGATGGAAAGTCCATTTTTTTGAAGAAGTAATTTATGGATATTTTCTAAAATTTTATTTGAGAAATAGTCTTCAATTTGGAAATGCTCTCAAAGTATTGAACAGGATTAAACTGCATAGAAAGCTCAGGAACATACCCTAGAATATATGGAAACTCAACATATTAAAAAGATAGCATCATAAAATAATGGAGAAAGAACTGTTGCAGGAGAAATACAGAAAATGCTAAGTTCTGACTGCAAGCAGTAAGCCAAGTAAATTTTAACTGGACTAAAAAACCTAAATTTCAAAAGCAGAGTCTTAAGAATTTTAGAATAAAATATAAAAGAATATCTTTATAATCTTTTGGTAAGGCGGATCTATTTAAAAGAAAGTATAAAACATAAACAAATTGGATTATGTTCATATAAATCTTCTTCACAATCAGAATAGAAGAAAATAAGTTAAAAGGCAAGCCACACATTGAGAGAAGATATTTACAATGTGCAAAACAGACAATTATGTACAGAACATTTAAAAAGATCTACTACCAATAAAAAAAGATCCAATAAAAAAACGGACAAACTGAACAAGCAAATTATGATTTATGAATAAACATATAAAAGGATTCTCAATCTCACAGGTCATCATGTAAATACAAATTAAAATGACAATGAATGTCAATTCATACCTATCTGATTGGCAAAAGTTAAATACAGAATGTGGGTAAGAACATGGAGAAGCAAACACTATTACACTGCTCCTGGGAGTGTGAATTGATATAACAACTGGAGGTGAACTTGATTGCATCTAGTAAAGCAGAAGATTTTTATACTCTACCATCCAGGAAAGAAATTCTCACATAAGTGCTAAAGGAGACCTATTTACAAATATTCACTGCAAAATTGTTTGCAATAGCAAAAAAAGAGGAAACAATGTGAATATTCAATCCACTCTAAGGAGAATGAATAAATCACTTGTGACATGTTGATATAGTCAAATATACTGCAGCTAAAGTGAATGAAGTACAGTTACATGTATGAACATGGAGAAATGTTGGGGGGAAATGTTAAATGAAGAGGGCACAGTTCAGAGGGGTATATGCCAAATACATAAAATGTAAATTAAAAGTGTAAAACAATAATATTGAAAATCTGTAGATATCTAAGCTTGTAGCAAATATATGGAATGAAATTACCAAATTCATGATAGTGGTTAAAGAAATGGGGAAATAGCGAAGGGGTTGGCATTGGGGAGGAGATATGGAGACCTCAAGTTTATCTGCAAAATGGTATTTCTTTAAAACAAGTCTGAACTAAATGTAGAATAATGTTAAGATTTTTAAAAGCAAAGTAGTGGGTGTTCATTTTACTATTTTAAATTTTAGCTATATGTTTTAAATGTATTGTAATAAAAATATTAAAATCCAAACACGCCAGTACTAATAGATAAAAGTATATATTAGGAAAGAATAATTGCAATACATGTCAGGTAAATGATTGAGGTTCTTATTCTATAAACGGTCTTTATTAAGTAATGGAAGTGAGATGAGGATCCGAGAGGAAGGTTGACTCACAGGATTAACAGGCAATTTGCAAGAAGAGAAGTACAAATGATTTGTGAACTTATGAAAGCAAATTCGATAGCACTGCAAAAATGGAGACTGAAGCAGCAAATGAAACACAATTTTTAATCTATCCAATTCTAGGAATTTACCCTTAACACATGGCCAGGAATTCTCATAACTTTATTTCAAGGATATTACTCATGATTATTATAGTGGTGAAAACACTGACAACAATAGAGTAGGTGCATCTATCCAAGCTGGCAAACTAGGAGAAACATTTTTATTTTATCCTTTTACTCCTCATTACCAAATACTGATTGTTCTGCTTCTTAGATTCGATGTCACACATTTTTTCCTTCACATTTTAGCATCTGTGAAATTGGGATGTGTCTTACAGTGACTGCCTGCCAGGGGGCAGTCAGGATGCAGTTGCACTGTCTAAAATACTCATCAAAACTCACACATACATAGGTGTCCCATTCTCCTCAAGAGCTTCATAAGTGCTGTACGAACTTTGTACGTGCACACAAGCTCAGAAGCGCACAGCCATCTCAAAAGTACCCATCTTGGTGCAAGTTAGAGCACATTAAAGTGAATCTAAGCAGGTTAAGTGAAAACAATGTCAAAATCACACATTTATACCTAAGCTAACTTCCTAAGACGACACAGACCAAATCGGAACGAAATCAAGCAATTTGAAGCAACCAGGAATTGGCACTTTAAATTTTTTAAAAATGTAGAGTAAGTTTAGACAAAACTAAGCAGTTTAGGTCAAACGATCTCAGACTCTATCATTCTTCTTAAAACCAATTTCTTATGAGGCAATAGAGCAAGTTCTAGTGGATACTACACAGTTCATGTGAAGCCAAGCTTCAAAATTCCTTGTTCACATCAAACAAAACTTATTTCTCATTAGAACTCATTAATATGTAATTGAATATATTAAACCAAGCACAGACTCAAACATTCTTTTCAAAAGTAGCATCTTAGATGATATAGAGTATGTGCAGTTGAAACTGAGCAATATATGTCAAACCAAGCTCAAAATCTCTCACAAGCTTCAGAAACTCTATGTGCAAACAGAAGTGTTTCTTGCCTTGGCTATCAGTGGGTCATTGGATTCACTGACCATTTGTTCCTTGCACCCCTTTAAGACAGATTTCGGTTGCTTTGGATGAAAAGGATAAACTTAGCTCCTCAGGAAAAGCATTTTAGGGACACACTACGGAAGGTTTGTGGGTCCTCTAAAGAAATGTACAAAAAGTGATGCGGACAAAGACTTAATATATTTTCTTTGTGTAAAGGGCCTAATAAAATCTATTTTTAAAAACACACAAAACATAAGCCTCCAAAAGATGAGTGGGCCAAGAAGAGAGAGCTCAGAAAGGAGGAAATACAATCAGCCAAGAAACATTGGAAACATACATAAACCTCAAAGGAGATCAAGGAAATGCAGGCTAGGACAAGAAGTTCATTTTGCCTATCAAATTACCAAAGACTTACACAATCAACTATCCACTATGGCCCGCGGTTCCCGTAAAACAGGAACTATTATCTCCTCCTCATGGGAGGGTTTATTGAATCAGCCTTCCTGGAAAGCAATTTGCCAATATGTAAAAAGAGCCTAAAAACAGCCATACCCTGCTCATTTATGCAAAAAAAAAAAAAAGTATAGGAAGGATAATAGAAAAACTAAACGAATTGGTTGTCTGTGGCAGGAGGAGGAGCATAAAAAGGGAAGAAGTGACAATTCTCTGAATATACAGATACACCTTTCACATTTGTTTGAGTTTTAGAAAGACAGTAATGCTTTACTTAATTCCATAAATAAATGAATAATTAGGAATCAACCAGGATCTGGAGATTCCCCAAATGGAATATTATTCAGTCTTAAAAAGGAAGGGAATTGTGTCACATGCTACAATTTGGGTGAACCTTGGGGATATTATGTTCAATGAAATAAGGCAGTTATAAGACAAGTTCTGTAAGATTGAAAGATATGAGGTATCTACAGTAGTTAAATTCATAGAAATACAGAGTAGAAGGGTGGTTACCAGAAGCTAGAGGCAGAGGGGGAAGGGAGTTGTTATTTAATGGGTATAGAGTTTCAGATTTTTTTAATATTTAACACAGTTTACGAGAAATGCAGATTACTTTTCCATCAGGTGGAAAAAAAACAAAAAGCTAACATTTAAAATTTTTACCTCTTGGAAACAGTGTTGTAACAGCATCACCACATGATCCAGCAATTCCACTACCAGACGCATCCCCACAAAAGCTGAGCACAGACACTCAGGTATCTGTCCATCCATGTTCATAGAGGCATTATTCACAACTAGAGGCCTGGTGCATGAAATTCGTGCACAGGAGGGGGGGGGGCGAGGGGAAGGGGTAGGGATTCCTCAGCCTGGCCTGCAACCTCTCACAATCCAGGACCCCTCGGGGGATGTCCTGCAGGGATCAGTTGGACATCCTTCTTGCATTCTGGGACTGCTCACCCCTAACCGCTCATCTGCTTGCCTGCTCGTCCTAACCACTCATCTGCCTGCCTGCTCAGTGCACATCATAGCAACTGGTCGTTCTAGTCATTCCGCCATAATGGTCGCTTAGGCTTTTATATATATAGATAGCCTAAAGAAATGACCAAATGCCCTTGACAAGGGAATGGACAAAATGTGGTCTACACATACAATGGGATATTATTCACCCTTTAAAAAGGAATAAAATTCAAACACATGCTATAACATGGATGAAACCTGAGGATATTTTGCTAAGTGAAATAAGCCGGTCACAAAGGACAAATATTGCATAATTTCACTCATGAAATACTGGAAGTGAGTGGTGGTTGCCAGGGATGGGAGTGCAGGGAAGGAGGGAGAGGAAATGGAAGGTTAGTGTTTAAGGGGAACAGAGTTTCAGTTGGGGAAGATGAAAAAGTTCTGGGGATGGATGGTGATGGTGGCACAAAAATATGAATGTACTTAATGCTACTGAATTGTACAGCTGAAAATTATTAGAATGGTAAATTTTATGTCCATTTTACCACACTAAAATATTAAATAAGATTTAAATATATCTATATGCACAAACTGTATCCAGTAACAGAGATCCAGTTCTTCCGAGGTGCCTGCCCGTTTCAGGTTGCAGGGACCCCACCACAGGGAGCACATGCAGGAACTACAGATGCTGCACCTCACAGACACAGAGGCCCAGGGTTACACACTGCACCTCGCACACACAGAGGCCCAGGGTTACACACTGCACCTCGCACGCAGAGGCAGGCCCGGGGTTACACACTGCACCTCGCACACGCAGAGGCCCGGGGTTACACACTGCACCTCGCACACGCAGAGGCCCGGGGTTACACACTGCACCTCGCACACGCAGAGGCCCAGGGTTACACACTGCACCTCGCACACGCAGAGGCCCAGGGTTACACACTGCACCTCACACACGCAGAGGCCCAGGGTGACTGACTGTGCATGGACCCCACCACTGGGAGCACATCTAGAAATTACAGACACACTGCACCTGCACACACGCAGGGGCCGGGGGTTATACACTGCACCTGTGCGCACACACAGGCCCAGGGTGACTGCTGTTTCACAAAGCTTCCCAGTGGCAACAACTCAAAGGTTCAGGGACGGAGGGTTGCTTAAGTAAAGGAAATAAACCAACCAGCCATCAAAGAATAAGTAGTACATACCTTCATAGTTGATGCCAGGCCCTGTTATCAGGTTTTTGCATAAATTCATTCATTTAATCCTCACAATCACGAGCAAACTCATCCCCAGTTTACAGAGGAGGAGACTGGAGCACAGAAGGTGTACAGCTTACTCCTGTCGGGCAGGGCTCTGAACAAAGTGGCCCGTGGACTGCTGTGTGTCAGTGCCTCTCAGGTTAGGTGACATCCGGACAAGAGCCATCAAATGGAGGCCAAGTTCCACATTCTTGAGCTGCTCTGTTCCATGGGAAGTCAGTGTCTATTCTGCCCCCACCTGTGCATACAGCCAGAGGCTGCGGACCTGTGTTGGCTGGAGCACGGCGCAGTCTTTCCTGTCAGTCCCCCACCTGCCCTGGGTTTGGAGCAGGGACAGGTTTGCACAGCTGGTGCATGCAAAACAAAGCTGTGATGATCCGTAAGTAACGGACCGCTCCGTTGGCCTGTTCCGAGGGGCTCACTGTCACGTGATGCTGAGAAGGGAGCGAGGCCAAGTGCCGTGTAAGGGACAGCAGACGTGCACAGTGTCCCCGGCGCTTCCATCTGCACGCGGCGTCTTCACGGTTCACGCAGGACTTAGTGCTCGCACTGGACAGAGTTTCCCGCGTGTTACAGTTCTCTTCAGGGAGGCCTACTGCAGGTGAGCGTGTGCGACATCCGGCCTGGCGCCCTGGCCGCCCCGCCTCGGGGCTTTGCAGCTTCCGGGGTGGGGAGCAAGCCCCCACGTGCCTGCGGGAGCAGCCGTGGAGCCGCCTGCAGAGCTGGGCTGGGCCCTCGAGTTTCAGATTTTCAAGAAGTTATGGAGTTCTGTTTCACAACAATATGAATATACTTAACACCGCTGAACTGTACGTTTACAAATGGTTAAGATAGTCATTTTTATTCAAAACAAAAATAAATAAATGAATAAAAATTCGAGAAGAAATTGGATTTTTGCATATTCTTAAAGAATCTCCCCTCATTCAAATACTTATTAATTACAAAGGGAGAAATAGGAATTCTACAGATAACTGGCAGATACCATTTTAACAGTGGTTAACATCATTAAAAAAAAAAGATTTATCGATCTTATGAGACCCTCATGGGATTCATTGAGAAGGGCATATCATCTCTATGGTTTTCTTAAAGAAAAAAAAAAGCATTACCTCAATCTAAGTATGAGAAACCATAAAATAAACTCACTTTTAGGGACATTCTACAAAAGATCTTACCAGTGCTCAAGGTCATGAAAGACAAAGCAAGGCTGAGGAACTATCATAGATTGGAGGAAACAGAAAAAAAAATTGTAACTAAATACAATGTGTAACCCTGAATTGGATCCTTGCCCACAAAAAATAACATTAGTGAAAAAAAAACTGGTGAAATTTGAATAGAGTTTATACTTTATTTAATGGTATTTTTCCAATTTCTAAATTTTGATAATTGTCCTATGGTTATGCAAGATATTAACATTAAAGGAAGGTAGAAGAAATATTTATAGGAATTCTCTGTACTATTTTTGCAACTTTTCTGTAAGTCTAAAATTATTTCAAATTAGAATTTTTTAAACATCCATACCCAGGAGGT